AAACTCGTTAATCTCGAACAACTTTTCATTTGCCATGGAAACTACGGCGATATTTTACCATTCATTCGATTTTGCCCGAAATTGGAGCGAATCATTTTGAAAGATGAAAAACAAACTAATGGACAGTTATTGAACATATCTACGTTGAATGGAGTACGCGAAAAACTGAAGAAAGCATGCCGGGTGACAATTTTTGTTTCGGACGATCTTTTTGTGGCCAGCAAATATGCAGCATTTAATGGACAGACTTTTTTGAAATATATTCGAATTAAACGATCCGATTCATATCGATGGAAACATTTTTATTATTGAGTTTTTGAGCATCTACGTTAAAAATAAACAATGGTGATGGAATTTGAGCGAATTGGAAAAATTGATTGGAGCTCGTAAGGTCACATTTGAGACGGTGTTTGTAGCTGTATGGTCAATAAGATATGGGGACGTTGGCTTTGACATATTTCAATTTAATTTAGATTAGGACTATTCTTCGTTTCGATCATTAAATTTATGATTTTTTTCAGTCCCCTTTTATTACATTTTATTATTCCATTCAATTTAATGTAAATAAATGTTCTTTATTCAAGATGAGTTTATAAGCAAGGTTATAAAGTAATATATAGAAATAAAACAATAAACATATTAAAATAATATGCAAAAATGCATTTATATTTATTGTATATATCTTCTGATTTTTCACGTTTTCTCTTTGTACATGTAAGGTAAACGAACTTGTCCAATAATCCAATAAGGTAAACGAACATATAGCACGAAATTGCCAATATAACTTACGGTTAAATGTACCGGTCTGTGAACTGACGGTGAATAAATAAATAAAGGTCATCAAATGAATTGATCACCTCGCGTCTGTCAGACTCAGCTGATATGAACAGTTTAAATTATTCAATCCAAGAAAGCTATAAACTACTTCATTTCAGTTGGTTTTATGGGCAACGAGAGTTTTTAGACAATGCCAAAGTTTCCGAAATAATGAAAATTAAAAAATGATCAAAGGTACCGAAAAATACCGATGTGTAGTGAAACATGACTCAAAATTAATTACAACTACCGAAGATGCCGAAAAAACACAGCGACAAATTAAAGAAACTAAATTTGTAACTGTCTACTTGTAGATATTGCGAATAGCCATATCGAATGTATGTTTCTTGTAATAATTTTCGGTCAAAAATGTTTGCTTCATTAGTCCAAAATCACTCGATTTGACGTTGCACGTCATCGCAGTCAGATTGTCCTTAAGTCATATAAATATCATTGAAAATCGCAAATATGATTACACCCTAAAGAGTTTAGCATAACGTGCTGGAATACGTTCAGAATTAATCCAAAAATACAGTCATCAATCGAATATAATTTAAAGGATTTGTGCTTTGATTTTTAATTTTAATCAAATTATTTACAAAATGTTCTCCCTATGTGGTTAGGAATACTGTTCGAAGAATGATTACCATTCAGGCTTGGTACAATTAAAATAAAAATCAACTCGGTGTTTCCATCCCGTCATTGATACGTATTTTATATCCCTATCAATGCCGTCAAATATTGTCGTTGAATATTCGTAGAAATCGTTTATAAATACATGAACGTCTCCCACTAAATTGAATAAAAAGAATAGCAATTATTATTTATTTGTCGCCCATTAAGAATGGAACAATTTGAACTAGGCTAGTAAAATTTTTTTTTTATTTTTTGGAAATTCCGTAATATTGATTGGAATTTCATAATCTGACGTTTTTCTTATTTAGACACTCGATTACAGATAAACTGCTTTGAGGAATTAATACAATCAATATACAAAATTCCACAGTGGATATTGATTGCAGTAGTTTCCCAAAGTGGTTCGGCAATCGATTTTGTGAAAATATCCATAAATTTCAGATTACACTGAATTGACCAACAAAAATTCCCAAAAGTCAACACAATTTTACAGGCTCATTTTGAACACCGTTGCTGACTTACTTGTAGTGATTGTGACATGAATTTTATTCGGCTGACCCGGCGTCAAAATCGTACCCTTCGATTTGGAATGCTCAATTTTACCATCATTACTATCGAAAAATGAATAGAAATTTAGGTTTCGATTTTCACCCAATCCAAGTCCTGTCAATAATGGAAACCAAACAAATTTCATCGATCGAAAAAATAACATTTTATGCATTAAAGGTAAAAAAAAACTATTGTCGACCATACTTACCAATTTCGTAGACTGGAGCTCCCTGCCATAGTTTTGGCGTTGGACTGAATGTTACAAATACTTCTTCGCCAATCGCATAGAGAACCATATTGGCGAGATAATGGGTATTTTCTTCATCAATCGCTTGGACATCTTTCAAATTGAAGTATTCCCTATTCAAATAGTCATAATTGCTTCGGTAAGTACAACCACCAGGTGCTACAATTGGGGATAAAGTTCAATTTTAGTTATTTGAAAAAAAAATTTTTTTTATCATTTATGCCACTTGAAATGTTGACATCAATGGCTTACCGAATTCAGAGCTCATAGCCGACTCAGTGTACAGAAGAAAGTAACAAATTAAAAATACGTTCAACACGATTTCCATATTGCTTTCACATTTATCTCATTAGAGACATGAAAAAATAAATTAATAAAATACTAAATTGTTTTTAAAGTATAAAAAAATCACGGTAAACATTACGTGTTAATTGTGCGAAGTTTATCTCCAGAAACGTCAAAATAGCTGAAAACGTTCCAGTGGAATGTCAATTGAATGACAAGTACTGTCAAATTGAATGTCAGTTTGTGTAAAGTGGTTGCACCACACGATATTCTCAATATTCAATTGGAAAAAAATGAAATCAAATTAGATTATTGATCCAATTCTTATGGTTCCAAAGATAAACTAAAAATTAAACAAAACGTAAGTATAGTTCCGAATTCTTAATAAAGTGTTATTAATTGAAATATTTCTTTTTCATTGAATGTAGTGATAATGAAACGGGAGGATTAGTAATTGAAACCAAACTTCATGCGTTCAAGTACCTATAGCACTGCCGAACCTAATTCGATAAAATGAACTATCTATTTGGAAAAAATTTAGTTGAGTTGTTATTTGAACGAATGTCCAAAATGAAATTTCTCTTCACGATTTTGGTCACTTTTTACTTCATTTCAAATATCGAATTTATATCATCGCGGTAAATCATTCCATACATTAAATGAAATATTTTTGACGCTTTCACAAACACACATTACCACAAACTGACCATGTGCTGTTGATAGTTGCTGTTCACCAAAAGGTGTTGAGT